TATAGATACCGAAGTAAATTAATATTAACACTAGTTAAAATAGTCGAACTGTAAAATACAATCATAATTTTTCACTATGAGTTTCACTTATTAGACACGTAATTCTACACTAAATGATTCAATTAGAAGTTTTACCGTGACCGATTCGTTAAGATGCTTCATTAGAGATTTGTAAAGCACTCTGAAAACAGATTCTGGCACCGTCTCTATCGGAGTCACTGGAAAAAGAAACTTATTCAGACTACGGATTATAGCACAACCTTCAATAAATCTTTACTTTTTCAGATACTAGCAACATTGTTCTTCGCATGTTAACACAGCAAATTAACGATATGAACAGCTGTTTTCCAGCGTAATGAAACCTCACGAAAACATATTGAACAAATCTTGATTACAATACTACTGAAGACACGAAGATTTGGTAAAAAGGTGCAAGTTTGAGTGTAAGTGCTCATGAAGAGCACCAACACCAATAAATATCCACAGTCATAGACAGATTCATATCCTTGTTGTACCATTCTAGTGAACGCTACGAGAAGAAAAAATTTAAAATTCATTTATCTTTCAGTTGTTTGTCTTTTACTGATAGATTTATCCAGTCATTTCTTCATGTTTGAGAATTAAATTAAATTAGATGTCACCCGCTGGTAATTTAAAAAGATTCAGTATATTGAGGGCAATATCAACAAGCAAAAGTTTTCAGAGTTGCAGTCGACTTTGGAACTGTAAGATTTGACTCCATGAATCTCTCTACTTCATGTGTCTCACTACTTTTAGAAAAGATAGAGGTTGATATTAAGGAGAATCTATTTCCAATCTTACCAAGATAAATACCAATGGTGCATCGTCCTGAACTGACACGAAAATTTGAACCAAATGTAGCATTTAACAAGGATGATTTAGCAGATGATTGTTCGCCTACTACAGTTAAAACGACCAATGGACCATCTGAATGCGCTTTATGTAATTGTTTAATAGTTAATTCCATTAAACACGAATGAAAAATAAGTGGACGATGGCGTAGAACATGAATAGCAAAACCTTTGTAGACTAAATTCGCAATATTTTTCGCTAGAGTATCAAATACTAATCGAAAATCTAGTATCTTTGATGATGGTGGCGCATCACTTGAGTAATATTCATAAAGCGCAAATAATTCATCACACATAAGTCCAATGGTTAAATCTACGTTTGCTAGCTTATTATCAATTTCAATGAGCTGTTTCTTAATTTTATCAATTTTCTCATTTAATAATTTTAACTCATTGACATCTTCATGATTATTACCATTATGTAATACTAAATCTTGTTGTTTATGTAACATTTTCAAGTGTTCATTTTTTTCTTCTTTCGCACGTTCGCGTTCATCTTTTAAATTTGGAACATACTTTGTTCTCCATATTTCTAAATAAACTTCTGTTATCAGTAAATCCATATACGTGCAATTATTGATTAAACTAATCATAAATTGATGATACACATTCAGTTCACTATTTTTTCGTTTTTCATCTCTCAATTTTAACAAACTTTTAGTTAATTGATCTCTGACCTCTGATGTAGTGGACATATCATTCAATTTTTTTTTAATATGATTCAATTCCGATTGATAATAACTGATGGGCGTCACTATTTTTAAATTATCTGTATGGTCGGATAGTTTTCCAAATAATTCGTGCAATTGATTTTCAGTTTCAAATTTAATATGATTTTTTTTCAGTCGTTGATAATCTATATGTTGATCTCCAGTTAATGGAAAAAACATCAATTGAATAGAAAAACATGAACGAAATGGAATTTGTTGTTGTTCTTGTGCTTTACTATGTATAGCATCAAATATATTAGAAAATTGTTGTAATAAGCGTCGTGCACGACATTTGCGTTTAAACTCACTAACGCCTTGAAGTGATCCACTATTGAGTGGTGGTGCTGTTGTCCAATAAATATTCGGCCATTTATATTTAGCATAATGTTCTTTGAATAGGTTTATTAGTTGTTCAGTTTTCATTTCATTATCATAATTTTTATCAAAAATAACGACAACAGTTGATATGATAGATGATGATGCTGATGAATAATTCATGGTACGAGAAAGAAAATCATCTTTATCATTATTTTCATTACTACTGCTAGCCGGAAAATCATCTTGTGTAATATATAGTAGTTGTACAGAGGCATACAACTGAGTCGATATAATTAATAATAAGTTAGTCTCTTTAGTAACTTGCCCATGTACATCAAATATAGCATAGGATACAGTCGGAGCAGGAGTCTGTTGTTTTAATGACGCCGATCGTACTTTGCTAAATAAAACATCAATACATGAATTACGATATATGACATCACTGACATTCGTTGATAAAGACTGTTTTCGTTTGTCTGTAAATATATAAGGTAAAAGGCTTGTTTTACCCATCATCAACGTTGAATCACTTCCCATTTGTATATATAGGTGATTTGTTGTTAAGCACAATGGTTCATAAATGCAATTAAAATTAATTTTATAAACCACTTTGTTAGTTATATTATCCGGCACATAGTAAGAAAATGGAATCGATAAATCGTTACGTTTAATAAAATTACTTAAATGTCGCTGACTATCATATGACATACTTTCAATTGTTGTTACTAGCAGTACACGTGTTGTTATGTATTCAATCATATTCATAAACGAATCACATAGTTCACTATTGTTTTTCATAATACTTTTGGTCATTTCATACGTACATTGTGGTAAAATTTCATGAATATCATTTATCGAATTATAACGCTTTAAACTATCAATAACATACGGGGTTAACTGCTCTCGATTATTTACCATCGTTATCAATTTAGTGGCTGACAATGGTTCCTCAACAAGAGTATTAAAAGAGAAATCCGATCTTTCTGACGGTTGCTGACAATAACCTTGTAGTAAATGGAACCATGACCATATTAGTTCAAGTTCATTATTATTCCATGTAATGTGATAAGTTGGATAAAGAATTACAGAATTTTCTGGTGATATACAACGTGTAATATTAAGACAACCACTAGTTTCGTGAAGCCCTAAAATAAAATAAACAAGTAACGGAGAAATTTATCCAAATTCGGCAACATCATTTTAGTAACTAACAATAACTCAGAGATACCCCCATAATATTTGATTTAATAATGTCAAACGTTCAAAGAATCGAACATTGGATTAACTATGAAACAATCTAGCAAATTAAGTACAAAACTGTATTCACTACGGCTTTCTCTATGATATCTGAGAGATCTTATTTTTAAACGTTACCTGAATACCATCGTTCGTAGGAATAGCTCGGTGGGTGTGGGTGTGGGTGGATGTGGGTATGAAATGACCAAAAGTATTATGAAAAACAATAGTG